ACTGTTTTTGGAATACATTGATTCAGTTGGTAAAGCTTTACGTCGACAGCACAAAACGGTGGTTACTTGAATCCTGTTACACATCATACTACCAAAATAAACCATGAAGTCTTTTAATTTAAATGTCTGGTTACAATGCTGTTGTTTGTAATATTAATGAAACCATAAGCAAAGTTCAACAGTAGCGTCCCAAGAGTGCGAACGCACGAATGACCTTCAGCTGGCCAACCATAAAAATGAGGAATGTTTGCTCAAAAAATGACGATGTATATATTGACAAGAAAATGCTTGAAAACGCATTAAAAACAGGTTATCTTTCTCTGACATGACTTAAAAACACATCCTAGTTGTAACGAGGAGTATATCAGTTGCTAAGTTAGACTAGATTCCGTACATGTATTCACCGACGTGACTACTGATAAACTGTTTTTGTGAATCGTTTATCTTCCTCATCCAGCTTGGTCTTCCAAAAAAGCCCTCGGATGAACTGTTATGGTTTTCAGCAAGAGGACAGACGACTACTTACCAGGAAAACGTAGATAATAAAACAAATTAAAATAAATGACATCAACTATGAATCTATCCCTAACTGTAACCATAAGCTTAATCCTGACCCTAACCCTTATCTAAACCTTAATTCTAACCCTAATGCTAATTATAATCCTGATCCTAACCCTAAAGAGCTATTAGCACATTGTCCAAACAGTGTTTACAAACGTGATCTGGATGAAATTTGCTCCTAAGTTGGTGAATAGCGTTGATATATTTCAGCTATAATAATGACAGATGCCGTTAACCAACGACAAGCATGCGTTCAACATTATTGGAGCGTCATTCACACTCCTGGGACGCTATTGTTGAACTTCACCAGAGTCGTAGCATTCTTTTTCTCAACAACTTGAAATCTATATTCATGAATAGTGAGTGATACTCAATTTTATTCTATGGATCAAACATGACTAAAAGCTGATCATCACTATTTTCGTCAAACACAAAAAGCTCAAGTAACTGTTGTCTGGTTTAAATACACATTGGAATTATCAGAGAAATTAGGACTCCACAAATTTCCAATATTAATGTAGCTTAAAACAGCAGATAATCAATTCACATGAAACCATAGATTATGATCCTAAGTGTAGGTGAAATTCTGAGGAAACTTACCTGCCCCTATGATTCGAAGCCACACGTCACCACCCATGACAGAAATATATGATTTCCAAGAAAATATTCCGTCTCACCTTCTACATCAAGAAGTTAAGACATTCTGGAATAACCCACCCAACCCTTACTCTTACGATTCGTTAACTCTTGCATCCTGCCTATTATTCCCCCTTAGTTTTCCCACAGCTACTAAAGAAGGACTATATCTTATAACGCAAGATGTTAAAGGTTTTCAGCAGGATAAGCAACGTGCCAATTAACCAGCTTGTTAATACTCTGGTCGACAGGCACTTGGACTCATATGAAAAATGGACTAAATTCATTCTGTCTAACTCACATCACCCTCTTCATTCATAACTCTCCCCTTGTATCTCATCAGGCAGGCAGAACCAGAAGCCTATATAGAAAACTATATACTCACACTAGTAAGTGCAAAAACTCAACCATACCCTACTTAGCTCGTGTTCTGTGCGATAAAGAAAGCATTAGGTGTGATACCTATAACTTATTAAATAGTCAGTAGAACAATTGAATCTTGTCTTTCCAACTCATATCATTTATAGGTAAAACGTTTTCTTTCTTTTTCCTTTTCTCTCTTTTTTTCTGTTATGTGCTGTTTTGTTTCTCTCTTCCTTACAAACTCTACTTAAAACATTCTTCTTCGTTCTTTCACACTCTCTATATGTCGACATTTTTGTTACCGCTTACGCGAGTAAACATGCTAGTATCTACTTTTCTAACACCTTCAAACATTCTGTTCACTTTTGACTTTGCTACCGATATGCGCTAATATGTTGTTGTCAAAACTAACTGAGATTACCCATAATCTATGTAGAATTTTGTTTCTTGATAATGTACTAACTGGATGCAACAATACTGTAGTGAAATGCAGAGAATTCCATTCTGTATCACAAGTACTGTTTTGGAATAAAGCAGATAATAATTATTATTGTATTCCAAGAGAACGATTAGTAGACAGGAAACAGTTTCCGAAAAATTCTGAATGAACTTCCTTAGGTTTGAATACATTAATAGAAATTTACCCATTCTATACAACATATTATCATCAAGATAAGTGAGTCGATACAGCTGTACACATTTCGTTTAGGATTTCACAGTCAGTCTACAAGTGTGTTGTTTACACCCATGTGGGAATATTAGTATCTCATCGTGAACTATATAAAGTACACAAACTCATAACTTTATAGCAAAATTCTTATCACTTGTTCAGGTTGTTCTTTCATTTGGATAGCTACCCTCTTTAAACTTATCGCATCCTTTGTCTACGCGAACAAACGTACGCTTTGTCTGAATTCTTAGCGTATCTATGGTGTTTCGAGATGTTAGTAAGTAGCCTTCTAAATATGTTTGTCCTGAGTGGGACACCACCTAACACAGATATCCAGAAACCGTGTGCCGCGTACAAACTGGCCACCTAGAATGTTCGGACACTAAAGCGAACCGAACAACGGCTAGGTTTGGTATGAATATTGGAAAGTCTCGCTATTTATGTCTGCCGCATTTCGGAGATCCGCATTCAAGATCCCAACGAAGTGATTCGATTATCTTGTCCATCTGAAAGTCCAGTTGACAGTGTATTTATGTATGGTATGCGCCTTTCGCCCCGTTTAAGTGCAAATTACTGTTACAAGAGTGGTAGGAGCCTGTAACTAAACTCACTCTGGCAGCTTAACCGTTTAAATTCGTGTATCTGGGTAGTTATCTGAGTGCTGGCGGAGACGTGACGGATGAGATTTCCAACCGTCAAATGAAAGCGACGGTGGCATAGGTCACACTGAGCCACATCTGACACTGTCCCGACGTTCGCCTGGTTGTCAAAGGTCGGATTTACAATGCTTCGGTGAGTGTTATCTTACTCTGTGACCAGTGAAACCTGGCCTCTCCAAGCTGAGGATGTGCGGCGACTCTGCGTGTTCGATCACCGCTGCCTCCACAGGATTGCTTGCGTTCGATGGCATCATCGCGTGAGTAATTCTTAGGTCTGGCAGTGTGTGTTTGGACACAGTGGAGACCACCACTCCTTGAGTGTCGTCATCTGGAAACACCGGCTTCAGTAGTTTCGACATGTGTTACGAATGTCATTTAAAAGGCTTCCGTACAGGTCTCTGTTCACCGGCCCCCTGGGATGGAAAAATCGGAGGAAGCGGTCAGCCTATGACATAAAGTTGTCAGATGAAGGACATTTGTGTGAAGTTAGCATCTGTTGGTGCATCACAACTCCCTGGTTGCAGTTCAACAGATAGTTCGAATCGGTGACTCGAAACGTTATCGGATATATGGCAAAGAATCGCAATCACCGATGGCGAACGTAGCATGATTTCCTTCTTTCTTCCCTTTCTGACAATAACTGGCGAATGCTGTTTGGACTTGTTAAATATGACTGCTTTCCCCCACCCTTCCAGATGAAGTACTTTATCCGTTCTCTACTTACATTTCCACTTTTTATCTCACATGTTTTAATATTATTATTATTTTGTGGTGCATCTTCTTAGTGCCATATTGTACAAATAAGAATGAATATCTTAACTGACTGAAAGTTATTCAAGCGTAGATTTGATCGAAGTTCAAGGAGCAATCCTTACTCGTAGGTTCTCTTATCACAGAATTTTTTCAACTGCATATTTATCGCTTCATAATACAATATCTAAGCACAAAAATCATAGATAATTACCTAGTAATTCCAACTCTCTATCGCTTTGCGTCCCAAGTGGGAAACAGGGCTTCCACAGATTTGAATTTTCAGCAGTGATGGTTTTAATACGGAATGGTGTAGTAATAAGCCTAATGTCCCATCTTCTCTTTTCTCAAGGCCTTCTACTCGGTCAAGTGGGGCTTAACTATACATCTCCCGGGGAATCGAACCCGTGACTGGCGCGGACATCTTTACCATTGAACCATCGATGCACAATTTTCAAACTAGGGGTACTGTTGCGTACAGCAGACAAAATGCTACAGAAACCAATATTCTTCGCAAAACAAAGAAGCTTCGACACCTCGCCCCCACCCACCCCCACAAAATGCTTTCTTCGGCTTAATACAAGTAGGGGAATCGAATAGATCGATCGACTAATTAGCATTCCGATAGACAATATACTCTGTTAAATTATACAAGCAATTCAAGGACAATCTTTCACGCATATATAAGAATTAATAAAGAAAACCATTTTCAGTGATTCTGGTCCGGTATCTATATGACGATTACACACCCAAGTAGAATTTAATTTAAGCACACCAAATCACAAAACGTAGGTGACCATTTTCAGAGTTAGTGTGGAGGGGGATTCCAGTCTCTTGCTGGCACTATCAACACAGATATCAATGTGAATCACCTAAAATATGCCTGCAATTTAATCCCAATCTCCTCTTATAGAGCTACAACTCTTTGTATCGCTTCTCATGAGAATGAGAAATGCCAGTGGTTCCCTAAGTGATGTCAGCTCATGATGAAATCCCAAACAAAAAAACCAATACTTGAAAATTAATCTGATGCTCGCTAATGAGTGAGTGATTGGCCTTATTCAGGTAGGCAGTTAACCTAGGATTCTAGTGAGAAGCCGTGACCAGTAAGTAGGGTGCAGCAGCAGGTTGAAGAAGACATTGCAAAGTGGTCGCGCTATGTCGTGCGTGAATTGGCAGAAGTTAGAATTTTCAGGAACCATTGGAGAGGATCCAAGTGGCTAGCCTTGTAACCAAAAGGTCCTGGGTTCGATCCTCAGTCGGGTGGGTGCGTACTGATGAAGAGTCTCAAACTTGGACGAAACAGCTGTCCAATACTCTCAGGTTTTCCACGCAATTAAAAAGAAACAAAACACCAATGTTGTATGAGAAAGATGTGTAATAATATGAAATCATCATCAAATAAAATACTCTTATTGAAAAGTGTACGTGTGCTGTTGTGTCACAGGATCCTCTGGATTAACACACACACACACACACAGACAAAAACCAGGCACACAATGCAATTTCACTGATCACATGCATGCATTGGAAGTACACACATACACGCGTACACACACAGAGGCGCATCTAAGTCCCAGAGCAATATAATTGAAAAAAAAACAAACAAAGAAAGGAAACATTCAATTGAAGACCCCTCCCACGCACACACACACACACCACACACAGTGTCGAAGAGAGAAAATCAAAGTGAAAAAAGAAATCGTCGCGACAAGATTTCTCTCTGAAGGCATTTTTTTTTGAAAATAACCAGAATTATCTACTTTTGCTTACTCAATCTCATTACTGCCCCCCCCCGCCATTAAGTACAACTTAGTAACACAATATAATACTTAATAGGAACAAGGGGAAACGGGTGGTAAAAACGAAGATCATATAAATATATATTCAGCTAGAAGAAGGAATAAAAGGGGTAATGTGTATAAATAGACCATTTTCAATAAATAATAAAAGGATATTTTGTTTGTCCTGTGTATTTTCTTGTAATATACTTACTATAATACTATGCATGTGTAACAATCAAGTCTCTTAAAGTATATTATGATTGACAATTATGAAAAATAGGTTGTAAAAGAAAAGAAAAGAAAAAAGAAGAGGAAACAAAACAAATTGAACTAAATAATAGTAACACAGTAAGGGTGATCCACTAAAACCACCCCTCAAACACCCGCCCCCCTCCCGGCCACTGCCAATATGTGTTGCTTGATATAATAATGATAGCAGTAGAAGGCGTAGTAATAAGCTACACGTTGAATAAAGTGTACACACACTCACACACACACACACTGAAGTCAAATTAACTGACAATGGAATCCATTCAATGAAAGGCACTCACAATGACACCAAACTTTTCCTTTTTTCTTTTATACACCAACAACACTTCAAAGAGACCACCAGGAGGTAGTAGTAGTAGTTACACTAACAACTCTACAGGCTAACTCCTAACTAAATTTTGAATCATTTGAAGAAATTCTTGATAAGATGGAGCTGATTCTGTTTTATCTTCTATCATACAGGATAAGAATAACGATCGAAGAGTGGTTGGTGCATCATGACGCATACAAACTAAAGCATTGTTGACTGGTCGACGTCTACGCAGAAGATTGATCAGTGCGGATAGTCTACGACGTCCAACTGGTATAGAAGAAGTATTCACTTCTTCGTTAAGCAGCTTGCTTTGTTTATCATGTTGTGAAGGTGAATTCATCATATTTGGCAATGTGAATGGACCACCTTGTACTGGTAGTTCATGAGGTGATGTAATACCAAGAAGTTGACGTAAACTATCTGAAGGAGTATTCGACCCTGGGGAGACATCTTCACCATAACCGACTAACAGTAATAAAAGTTCACCAGTATCTAATAAATACACACCTGAACGTGATATACTTTGAGCGGATAAATGTAACTGGTTAGGTAATTGTTCAGCTTCTGAATTAGCATCACTTTCACCTGAAGAAGATGTTCCATCACAATCCGAAGGACGTTGTTCTTCATCTCCGTGATCAGCTAAACGAAGACTAGCTGCTTTTTGTACAAGGGTGGCATGCGAGGACAATGGTTTTGAGACAAAACGATGTACAGCATACAATTTCGGATACATTAAAGTGATTAGATCATTGGGAGGTGCAGATTTAATACGCTCCAGTGCTGCTGACCTATCATCTAAGCGTGTTACCACTCCGACTCTAAACGCTTTAAAGCGAAGCAGACCACATATATACAATGGAAGTAATCGTAAATTCGGTGGACATGGTAGACCATAGGTTGTTGAACTACAATTCGATGAAATACCACAACTTGTAATGTAGGCGGATAATGCATCAGCAACAGCATTGGCTAAAGCCTCTCTAGCATTTGATAGACCTGAGATGATTGTACGATCAACAGCCATTTTGCTAAGAAGGCAAGCTATAGCGCCTTGATCAGCTCCTTGAAACACTTCCGTTGGAGTATGTACAACTGGTAGGCATAATGTGTGCACACGAATACGTCGATCACCTTTGGATGATGTATACAAAACAGCAGCCTACAGAAGAAGAAAAAAATCAAGTGACATCAAATATATACTCACATGTAGATACCTAGCACCAAAATAATAAATAAATAAATAAAATCGATATCTGGCTTTGTTTATGCTGACGAGGCAACACACCCACACGCACACACATATTAAGTGTTCTTACTTACATACTTAGTGAAACGACAAAACCAAGTACAGGCGAACATTACCATCACGTAAATTCACAGATTGTAGAAACTCAAAGACTTTTGAAGTGGCAATTATTTGCAACAGTACTACAGGCTCTGCTCTGGAGTAGTAATAATGAATAAAACTGAATACATAGATAAGATGAATGAAATACGCAGTGATCATCGAAAATTTCAAAAAATTACATCTTCCGTTGATTCGACAGAAAAAGTGGAGAAACAACTTAACTGAGCCACTAAAAAGACTTAAATAATAAAGTAGCACCATAGAAGGTTTATATGAATCTCTAAAGTCTTTCTGTCTGGATTCAACATAGAACTTGTCACTGAAGTGCAACAGTTCGAGTTGCCACGTTCCAAATAGCACAAAAAGGTAGACAAGAAGATGAGTGAAGAGAATCAATACAGTCTGACAAGTATAGGCGTGAAACAGAATGGGTAATGGTAGAAAGGAATATGAAAGATTACAGAGATTGAATACATCTGCGCTGGCCATTGACAACGATTTTGAGCCATGTCACCTATTGTCTCCAGCCATTGATTCCTAGAGTCCTGAAGGCCCCAACCCGGAAGTCTGCATCTTCCTACCTGACTCAGTTTAACTGTCAAGGATTTCATAGATTGATGAGGCCATGTTTTTGTTTGGCCACTACTTACTCTTTTCCAACCTGGACCTATATCAGCTAGTAATGCCCGTCGTCGAGGGGAGGCGATGGTTAGGCATGCGCTCCACGTGACCTAGCCATCTCAATCTATGTAACTTTATAACCTCGTCGATTGATTTTCCCTCTTTGCCCAACACTACACCTAACGTCAACATTACTTACCTTATTATACCACCTAACGTGAGAAAGAGATCATAGACATTTATAATCAAAAACAGTCAACCTTTTCATGTCTTCAACTCGTATTGGCCATGTTTCAGAGCCATAGCCTACTGGTATGGTTACACCAAGATTATATGAACTACCAAAAGTGCATAAAATCGGTTTACCGCTTCAACCAGTGTTGAACATGTGTAAGTTTCCCCATATCACGCAACAGCAAAGTGGTTAGTGAAGCTCCTAAAACCTCTGCATAATGAATTGGTAAAACATAGCGTAAACGGTAGTTTTGAATTTGTTGGAAAAATAAGAGATCTTAGTGTGAGGGACAAGTTTATGATATCTTTTGATGTATAGTCCTTGTTCACCAATGTATCGTTAATGGAGACAGTGGATTTTATATGTGGAGAGATTACTACGCCGACACATGGAAATCGGCATTTCTGTGTCCACCTTGAAGGAAATTATTTTAAGATGTACAATGAATGTTCATTTCTTATTCGATAAGGAATATTAGATAAACTGATGTTGTAGCTATGGGTTCCCCATTAGGTCCAATCCTAGCTGATTTCTTCCTCGCAAGTTAGAGAATGGACCACTGAAAGGAGTAATTAATGGCTTGGACTTCTACTGTCGATATATGGATGATACATATCTCGTTATGAAGGACGAGAAGGATGCAATGAACATCCTTGACAAGTTTATTGATGCACATTCAGCAATAAACTTTACCACAGAGAAAGAAAGTAACGACAATATCTCATTCCTAGACGTCTTCATTACAAGGAAAGAAGGAGCAAGTATAGGAAATTTAAAACAGCAAGTCAGTAGACTCATTTTTTGAGTTTTGTACCTTTGAAATATAAATGTAACCTGGTAGTGTCTGGTTCATAGAGCTAGGTTAATCTGTTCAGACGACTGCTTCAATGAAGAGCTTGAGATTATTAGAGAATTACTTAGAAAAAATGGTTATCCAGATAAATTCATTGAGAAAAATATGAATTCAGCACCTAGGAGAGTCAGTATGGCAACAGTTCTGAAAAAAACTACTGTTCATAAAACTGAACTTCCTCGGTGACAACATCAGCGAAATAATAACACAGTGTCTGAAGAATGCAGCTAAAGGAGCTTCCATTGCAGCAGAGAGAGGTACGTTGTCTCTTCACAACCACCCGTATTCTATGTTCGAGAAATAAGGATAAACTAAATAAATTTGCCTCCTCTGTGTATCTACCAGTTTGACTGCAGCTGCGGAGCCAGCTACATCGGGCGTACAATTAGGCAGGTTCATCATCGTCGTATTTCCGAACATCCTGCATGGTTAAGCAAGGGAAAAGCAAGATCTATTCGTAGGTAGCTCTGTTTTAACACACCTTGTAGACAGTGAGCATAAGGTTGACGTTAACACAGCATTTATAATTTATCGCATTCCTACTAATCGTAATTTGCTGTACGAGTTCGTCTTTCACACATAGCTGAAGCAATAGGAATCCATCTGATGAAGCCAAACACCTGTGTGTTCAGAAGAAATTTGTACAGCCACTTTCCTTACAGTGGCCATCGTTACATGAATGTATAAATCGGACTACTTCGTCCCCCTCCCCCAAAACATTTAAAAACTATAAAAATTATAATGTCCAAATTATTTTATCATTTTTTCTGACCACTTCATCTTTAATTTACGTGTTCCCGACCGAAAGCTGCTACCTTGACGTGGTGGTCGGGCTTGAACACCGCAATGACCTAATCAAGCTATACTGGCTGAGACTTATGTCTCTTGAGGTTCTACCATGCCAGGCAGGTTGTTTGGATAGCGGTTAAACAAAAAGCAGCTACCCAATCCAACATCATGTCCAATACAAAATTACAAAATTTCATGCCGGATCGGCCGTGGCCCGGATTAACAACGACCGCGCTTCCTGCTGCCGTGTCACAGGGCGGGAGTGATAAATCTGCTACTGAGACACACCAAACAAAAAAGAACGAACAAAAACAGGCCGCGTGTGACCGGCCTCAAGCAGTTGTCCCCTGGGCTCTGCGGTCACGCAACCAACTTCCACGGTGTGGGCAGCCGGGAAGTAACAATCGCCCTCACAATCCGAAATGCACACGAAACCTCTCTATTACTCACTCATCTTTGTCTTCATCTTCATCTCTATCATCTTGCCTTCCTTCCACTGATGCAACTCCTCGACTTGATAGCTCTCCACTTCCTCTCCACTCTGCGTCCACTAAAAACGATGGAAGCCAAAAAACCACCACCGACAGCCTCTTAAAGCCGCGCCACCAATTTCATATAGGAGCTCTTAATGTTAGGACACTTTGCCAAATAGGACAACAAGCATCACTAGCACGTTTTTTTTTTTTTTTAGCCATTGATGTATGCTGTGTTTCAGAAACACGCATACAAGACCCAAGTGTGGTTATTCACCTAACCCCACCTGGCCAACAGGTTGAATCTGCAAAATTCACCTTGAGGGTGTCAGGAGATGCCACAGCTAGTTCACGAGGATTAGCTGGCGTAGGGATAGCTTTGAGTACTAGGGCAGAAAAGACATTGCTTGACTGGATCCCGGTAGATAGCCGAATGTGTGCTGTCCGCCTGAACGGATCAGTAAGAAGGAGGAAGGACTGCACTACTCGCCGATGCCTTTTCGTAATCTCCGCCTACGCCCCCACTGACTGCAGTTCAGATGAAACGAAGGATGAGTTCTACCAAAAGCTGTCTAGTTTGGTGGAAAGGCTAAACGCTCAGACATAGTCGTTCTAGCTGGTGACTTTAACGCTCAAGTAGGGAAATTGTGTCAATCTGAGAAGGATGTCGGTGGCACCTATGGAGCTCCGTGCCAGCGAACCGACAACGGTGACCGTCTCCTACAGTTCTGCTCTGATAATCATTTGTTTCTTGTAAGCACTAACTTTAAACACAAGGAGAGACACTGTTTGACTTGGAGACCCCCTTCATCAAACCAACGCTGGACACAAATAGACCACATAGCAATAAGCTATCGTTGGCGTGGGTCGGTAGGAGATTGTCGCTCCTTCTGGAACACGTGCGTAGATACCGACCATGCACTGGTCCGCGCTCGGGTGTGCTTACGACTGAACGGACGTAGGAAACAGCTGGCGGTAAAACCATCACGTCCCCAGCTCGATCAGGAAACTAAATCCGTATTTCAGGAAGAACTAGCTAAACACATATCTGTGTTCGACAGCTGTGCTCACCCTGAAGAAGCTTGGAAAAATATCCAGGCAGCCATAGATACAGCTGTAAAAGCTGTGAATAAGGTAAACCCAAAGGTGAGTAAAAACCACTGGATCTCCACCGCCTCATCCGAACTGATAGATGCTAGAAGACTTATTCCGGCGAGCTCCGAATTCAATGAGGAGCGAAAGCTGCACAAGAGGAAACTTACGAAAAGTCTCCGCAAGGACCGTGAACAGTGGTGGGCGACAAAAGCCAAAGAGATGGAGAAAGCTTCGAGGATAGGCAACACCAGGCAACTCTTTGGACTCATCAGGGAAACGGGTGGGAGAAGACAAATCATTAGTGAGACAATCTCGGAAAAAAATGGCACTATAATTAGCTCCAGGATAGACGACTGGATCGTTGGAAAGAGCATTATGAGGAGCAGTTTAATTTGCCCACAGCCACGCTCAACCTTCCGAGCATCCAACACCTCCCTGAATGGGATATAGACACAGGTCCTCCGTCACTAACTGAGGTTACTAAAGCTGTCACCAATCTGAAACTAGGCAAAGCAGCGGGACCTGATGGAATGACTCCAGAGGTATTTAAGTACGGTGGAGACAGCTTACTGTCCGGATTAACTGAGGTACTAGGCAGCGTCTGGGAATCAGAAGAAGTCCCATCGGGTTGGTGTAAGTCACTGATTATCCCCATATACAAGAAGGGAGACAAGTCTTCCTGTGATAATCACAGAGGGATTAGCTTGACTAATATAGTATCTAAAGTCTTAGGCTCAATAATCATGCGTAGACTGAGTGGTGCTCGGGAAGCACAAACACGAGAGAGCCAGGCAGGCTTTAGACCAGGAAGAGGGTGTATTGATCATATCTTCACCCTCCGACAGATTCTAGAACATAGGCATTCCTACCGGCGTCCAACAGTCATTATATTTCTTGACCTAAAGGCAGCATTCGACTCTGTCGATCGGGAAGTTCTCTGGAGATGCTTGGCTGTAAAGGGAATTCCAAGAAAATATATTGCACTGATTAAGGCACTCTACTCGTACTCATACAGCCAGGTGAGGGCTTACGGCGAGCTGTCATCTGAACTGATGACGACCAGTGGTGTCCGTCAAGGATGCCCATTATCTCCTTTTCTATTCAACTTCATCATAGATGTGTTAATGGACTTAACCCTAGGTGACTTCAGCGACTCAGGGATTGACTTGCTACCGGGAATAATCTCGTTGACTTGGAATATGCAGACGATATAGTCCTTCTAGGCGAAGACGCTGACGAAATGCAGAGTCTTCTAAACACCTTGAGCCGCAATCTACGAATGTTTGGCATGCGATTCGCTCCCGCCAAATGCAAGATGATGTTACAGGACTGGACTACATCGACGCCTAGTTTAAAAATAGGAAGTGAAGTGGTAGAGCACGTTGACCGCTTCACTTATTTGGGAAGTACCATCAGCCCCAACGGGCTGATCTCTGACGAAATCTCAGCACGAATACAAGGGGCTCGTTTCGCATTTGTTAGTTTACGCCGACTCTGGCGTAGACGAGATGTTCGACTATCGACCAAAGGGCGGGTGTACTGCTCATCAGTCCGCTCCGTCCTCCTTTATGGTTGTGAGACCTGGCCACTGAGAGTGGAAGACATGAAAAGACTAGCTGTCTTTGATCATAGGTGCCTGCGTTCTATTTCCCGTGTAAAGTGGCATAATAAGGTGAGCAACATGGAGGTTAGGCGTAGAGTTCTAGGTAAACAGGGGAAATCAATCGACGAAGTCGTGAAGCTACAAAGACTGAGATGGTTAGGACATGTGTTACGTATGCCAAGCCATCGCCTCCCTCGACGAGCAATGTTAGCGGATATAGGGTCAGGCTGGAAAAAAGCTAGCGGCGGTCAAACAAAAACTTGGCATCAGTCAATGAAATCCACAACAGTTGGTCTAAGCCACGTAGGAAGGTGTAGACTTCCAGGCTGGGGTCCTCGGGACGGTAAAAATCTATGGTTGGAAACAATTGGTGACATGGCTCAAAATCGTTCTCAGTGGCGCAGATGCATCCACTCCCTGTGACTTATGATCTTCAATGAAACTGTTTTGTATTTCTTTATTACTCCTTTGTCTCACACCTCTGCTCACTGTTTCTATTATGCTTTTCTTGTACTTTCTTCTCTTGCTTCGCGTGCTACACGGAATGTGGCGACTTGAACTTCCGCACATTTGTGCAAAGTTCTATGTCGAAAACAGACAGACAGACAGACAATTTACGTGTTATCCTTGTAAAATTAATTTATTCTAACCATTTCTACCTTTTAATTGTGTGTATTGATATTCTTCGTTAATTATCACCAGCGCCTTGACATGTTGACACTGACTGACTAATTATTGTTAACAAACATATCAGTGCCACTTGATGATTGGTAAATTGTTGTGTAATGTATTAAAAATTTATATGTGTATTAGAATAGAGCCAGAGTGAGATGAGGATCTAATTGAAAAGTAAGTAAATATGTCTTCGCTCGCCCAATCTTTCTGTTTTCTACATGTCTAACTGGGGATTTTTTTTCTACTTTGTTATCTTTTGCGCTAAATTCAACAGCTTCATAACAAAAAATGTTAACGCAATTTGAACACGATTACCCGGAACACCTTTTTCACTATGTGTGCCAGTAATAATGAGTCACAGTTACTGTGAGTAGGGACTGGAGAATATTACCTAATTACCCAGCAGCTTAAAGCAAGCAAAGCATGACTGCATCCCATGCCTGAGAGTCGATTGCGGAAGTCAATGAACCACAATGTTTATACGTCAACCAGAGATAATCAATAATATTTAAGTGAATAGCCTGGCAATGACAGCGCCTCACACTCCCACCCCCACCCCCCACTCTCTACACACACAAACACTAGCAACCATAAAAAAGTAAACCAATTTTTCATATGCTTATTGAAAAGAAAACACCAGTAGCCTTACTCGAAAAACCAAAACTACTTGCATTCCTCTCCAGGCACTTTGTCAATCACAAGTAGACTCCTAATTTTTAAGTGAAATATGTGCAGAGAAATTGGTATTTCAACTAATATTTGAGCAACAATTGAGCAAAAGAGAGGATGGTTCACTCAAAAGAGATGTTCTATAGAAAACCTACATCTATAGAACAATATATACATTTCTTCAGTTTTGTACCAATCCGATACAAAGTCAATTTGGTCAGATGCCGTTTCACGAATAGAGCAAGACGGATCTGTACAGATGACTCCCTACAAAATGAATTAGGATACATCCAAAATACGCTAGTCCAAATGGGTTGGTTATCTTAGTAGATTTGTAAGGAAACACGTGAACACCAGGTATAATAAAGAGAAACTGACAACAATTGAAAAGAAACAACTGTTCATGAAATTGCAATTTAATGGGACGTGGCTGGCGATAAAACGGACTTATACTGCCGCTACCCTCTCTGTTTGTCATTTTCCAGCCGACCAATTATGATTGCTCTAGTGAAAGACAAGCTACCTAGGTGTGCCACTTCTATGTGTATCTACAAATTTAGTTGCTCTTGTGGAGAAAGCTATATAGGGGGAGGGGAGGGGTGAATAACTAGACAGCTTAACAAACGCACCATTAATGAGGTCAGATAAAATCTATAAGAAGTTCTATTTTGACTCATTTGATTGATGACAGCGGTCACCAAAGGGGACAGAAATAGTGCCACCTTCAAAGTATATCTATCGCATTTCATCGAGCCTTTCGAAAGGAATTCGAACCCACCTTTTACACACAGACGAAACTATGGGAATTCAAGAGAACAATCCTCCTAGTCATGGCATACAACAAAAGCAGTTTGTTCTACCTTTGTCTCTCTCTCGGCCTAGGTGGATTCTAATTAAAACCCACCTACTCTTTCCTATTTTCCATTTCCTTCTTATATTTATGATATTTATTTAGACTCTGATCAGCTGTCCACTTCACCTTTAAGATTACGTAACTTTTAAGATTTGATCTAATTTATTTATTTATTTATTGACCTATCTGCATATAAACGTATTATTACTTTCGTTATTCTTGTTATCGCCACCTGCGTAAACATTATTATCATTATTTTGGTTATCATTATAATCATCGTTAGTAATGATGTTCAAAACATTTACCACATTATTATTATTTGATCCATAAAATCACCGTCATTGGTTAAAATTTTTTATACATAAATCTATGTAAATAAGACTAAATCCTGAAGACGATCTAATTGAAAACGGCAATATTGCTCGCTTATATGTCTTGTTCTAATAATAATTAGGTGAAAAAACAGGATTTGAAAAAAGTGAGACATAAACAGCGAAAAATCCTGATTAAAACCTATGCTGGACAGTATGATGTGCACTGTGATTGAGTAACACAAAGAAAAAACGAACAACAGAGATGAATAATTAAATAGCCTACCTGACAGCATACAGTACCACATTTTTCTAAGCTTTCAGATAAATCCAACTGGACAGCATAACCAGAATCAGGACTAACATTGGGCAATGACATCAAATCAGTAGAACGTACAAAGCAAGAGCCATGAAAAGTCTATGGTAGGGATAAAATATTTAAACAGAAAAACAGGTAATACTCAGTTATACATAGAAACAAAACAGAGGTCAATTATTATTTTTTCCTTTAATTTCTAGAGGAACATAGGGCTCCAGCCACGCACGTCCCCCTGCATTCGGTTCTCTGCTAGAGTTTTCACCTGGCTCCACGTCTGCCCACATGCTTTCATCTCCTCTTCACATCACCTCCTCCAAGTCACCCTTGCACTGACAACCAACTCGCCGCTTCGCTTTAGGGTTCCACTCGAGCAATGGCTTGCCTAGTGATGTCACTTGATGGTTTGTTTCCTCAGAGTATGGCCACCAATCCACCTACCTCCATTTCTTAAAGGTCAATACAGATGTAAATTAACGACTAATCAAAATAAAGGTTGTCAGCAGATAACAATTACATTACATCCATGGAGAATACGAATACAGCGACTTCACAGTGACGTTTGCATTGATGAAGATATATAGAAAGATAATAAAAACTTTGCTGTTAAGCCAATCCCAGGTCAGAGAACTTGCCTAAGTACATTAAAACCATTCCACTGGCTACCAGGGAATAATCTCGTTGACTTAGAAAATGATATAGTCCTTCTAGGCGAGGACGCTGACAAAATGAAGCAGTCTTCTGAACACCTTGAGCTGCAATCTACGAATGTTTGCCATGCGATTCACCCCCGCCAAATGTAAGATGATGAGGCTACAGGACTGGACTACACTGACTTCTAGCTTAGAAATAGGGAGTGAAGTCGTAGAGCACGTTAAGCGCTTCACTTATTTGGGAAATACCATCAGCCAACACTAACAGGTTGATCTCTGACGAAATCTCAGCACGGATACAGAGGGCTAATTTCGCATATGCCAGTTTACGCCGTCTCTGGCGTAAACGTGATATCCGGCTGGTTATCGACCAAAGGGCGGGTGTACTGCTCACCAGTCCATTCCGTCCTCCTTTATGGCTGTGAGCCAGACATGACTATAGAGAGTGGAAGACATGAAAAGACTAGCTGTCTTTGATCATAGGTGCCTGCGTTCTATCTCCCGTGTGAAGTGGTATAATAACATAAGCAATATTGAGGTTAGGCGTCGAGTGCTAGGTGAGTTGGAGCGGAAATCAGTCGACGAGGCTGTGAAGTTACAAAGACTGAGATGGTTAGAACATGTGTTACATATACATATTCATCGCCCTCCTCGACCGACGGAAATGTTAGCTGATAATAGGGTCAGGCTGGAAAAGAGTTAGCGGCGGTCAAATCAAAACATGGCTCCATCAATCAATGAAATCCACAACAGTTAGTTTAAGCCAGCCAACCAGCCACGTAGGAAGGTGTAGACTTCCGGACTGGCGGGGGTCTTCGGGGCGGTAAAAACCAATCACCGGCTGGAAACAATCGGTGATATGGCTCGAAATAGTCCTTGTCAATGGCTGGCGCAGATGCATCCACTCCTTGTGACTTATGATTTCCGATGAAACTATATTGTTCTTCGTTATTACTATTCCTTTTGCTCATATCCCTGTCTACAATCTCTATTATGCATTTCTTCTACTTTCTTCTCTTGGTTTGTGTGCTACAAGGAGGGAGGGAGTGTGGCGACTTGAACTGCTGCACATCGGTGTAAAGTTCTATGTCGAATACAGACAGAAAATCATCCCATCTGAATTATAAATCTCCATTAAATGGTGATTAGTATAAATTGACTCCCTTATTCACTTTAAGTGGGATCTTAAAACTACTTATCACCGATATGAACGTTGCATGAGTTTTATTCACTCTAAACACCACTACTTTTCACAAAGAAAGGATCTGTAGTGTATATATATATATATATATTCATGGAAATCATTTCACAGGTGGAGTATAATTGGAAATCAATAAACAATTGACAATGTAATTAATAGTGTTCTCTGAGTTGGTTAGTTTAGTTGCGGAGCTTTCGACGTCCTTCTGGACAGCATCCCCTTTCAGCGAAATTTTTAGCACAAAGTGAAATGATTATTAATTAATTATTATTATTATTATTATTAATTATCGTCATTCTTATCACATGTATATGTGTATATTGACTGAGCAATTATTTAGTGCCACTTAATAACCTTTTTCTGTAACATAAATACGACTGTACAGCTTGAAAATGAAATCGTTGGAAAGAAATTTCTTCGCTGAACAAAAACTGTGCTTTTACTTATGAATAAATGGGTATTTTTCGTGATATAAATATGTATTCAAGTGTTGGTTTGTAGGGATTTGGTTGGTTTCAGGATTTCATCATGAGCTGATATTAGTTAGAGAACTATTGGTTCCAGTGGGAAGTCGTGACCAGTAGGGTGCAGCGGGTCGGGTGTGAGGACAAATACTCGCCGAAGACATTGGCTAGCGGTCGCGCTATGTCGTGAAATGATTTGAATTTCTTCATGAGTGATAAAATTGCGTCTCCCGGTAACCATCTTTACATATGTATTGATCATTTTCTATTGACTTGGAGTTTAAACTTTCTGGTCACATGATCTATATTAACGTGTTTGTTAGTTGCATATTCGCCTGAGTACCAGGCTTCTAGGAATTCCCTGGCACTTTTGATGTTTTCTCTGTCTAAAATGTCGACATGATCCCAATCAAACTGATATCCATAATTATCTATATGCGTTGATATGAAAGAAAATGGATATCATGTCTTTACACAGCTGATTTATGTTCCTGGATTCTGATTAGAAGGGGACGGACGCCTACTTTGGCCGATGTAATGCCTGTTAAAGTTCATACAATTTATTTTGTAAATGGTATTAATTTTATCTCCTTTTTCTGTTGGATAAGTCTTTCGGTTTTCATAATATCGAATTAAGCGATTCGACTGGTTTGTGTCCTATATCTATATCAAACGGTTTCAATATTCTAGCTGTTATTATTTCAGAGATATTTCTCATATATGGTAGGATGAACTTTCTTGTGGTCTTTGATGATGGTTCCTTGTTGGTGTTGTGATTTGATTTTTAACACGTTTTGATGAAATTTTGTGGATAACAATTCTTTTTGAAGACCGTTTATATAGGTATTTTCCTTCCATTCTTTTCAACAAACATCAGAGTGCTACAGTGTGTTTGAACTCTCTTTTAAACAATGTCTACGCACAGTTTCTCTTGCAAGTAATTGGATTATTGCTAGTATAATTGAGTATAGTTTAAAATCCAAGTGAAAAGAAAAAAATGGTCAATACATACGTAAAGATGGTTACCGGGAGACGCAATGATATCACTCATGAAAAAATTTATATCATTTCATCACTTTATGCCAAAATTTGCGCTGAAGGGGGATGTTGTTCAGAGGGTGGACGACGAAAGCTATGCAACTAAAAACCAACCAGCTCAGAGAAAACTATTAATTGCAAATCATCCCACCTGAACTACAAATCTTCTCTATTATTTCAATTGACTTTGTGTCGTTCAATTAAATTCAAACCGCTGTTGTCTAGTAATATTATCGTCTGACCTTTTTCTTGATATACATCGGCTCGCAGAGAAATAATTATGAGTTTGTTAACAGAATGTAGAATCCTAGCTAATAAACTACGTGTAAAAGTTCACTCTAGTCGTCAAAAACTTATGAAACGAAACGGAGATCAGCCATTTCAGCCAAAGTCGAATAGCCACACACACACACACACACATATGTGAAAGAAAGAAAAACCATTTCCATCAGTTAAACTCAAAATAAACCTAATCAATCAATACAAAACCAACAAATCGACTGGTTGAAGAAGCAGTCAGCGAAGACAGGACTCTAGGTGAACATTCCATATTAGTTTGATTATTAAATGTATCACACAGTGAAACAGTATTGTATACTGGATGACGTTTCGAACACAATTTATTGTTCATAATCATATCAATTTTTTTTTTAGGTGAACATATAGGACAGAGACAGAGGTGATGAAGATAACCGAAGAACTGTAACAACAACAACAACAGCAATCAGCACAAATCACCATCAACGGGAGAGATTTGATAGAAGGTCAACTCCTTCATTTATCTGGCTAGGAAGCACGGTTTCAACCAAAGGCGGTCACAGAATGGATGAAGATATCAAAGTCAGCCAACCAGCCAGAATCGGGGGGGGGCAAGATGCGCCCTCATCAACCTGAAACCAGTATGGAAATTTGAAATCAGCATAAAGAACAAGACTCGGATTCTGTTTAATACATAATGTGAGGTCAGTCAGTCAGTCACTTCTTCTATACGGGTCACCCGGCCGATAGCTGCTACCTTGACGTGGTGTGGTCAGGCTTGCACATCGTGATGGTCCAACAAGCTGCACTGGCTGGAAAAAATCTTCCCGCAGGTCCTACTTGCCAGGAAGGTTGGTAGGATGGCGATTGGACTAAAAGCAGTTACCGCCATCCTGTAAGAATCTTTCTTACACTATGCTGGGGGTCTGAGGGCGAAGTCGTACTGCTGGGGAACAAGAATGTAACAACAGTAAGGTGTTTCCCTCAGATAACCAGCATGCCAGCCAGCCAGATATGCTGTCTCTTCAGTCTGGAGATAGAGAGTTAGGAAAGGTCGACCCCAACAATTGTATATCCCTACTTACCACACTTACGATGATCAGTAACCGGCGGTAAGTTTACTAATATGGAAGCAATTCCAGAAACCAGTTCACACAGGCCGTGCGTGGCCGGTCTCAAGCAGTTGTCCCCTGGGGTCTGCGGTCACACAACACTAACCCTCTTTCCGTTTCAGGTACCCGAAGAATCAATCAACTTTCACGGTGTAGGCAGCCGGGAAGTAACAACCGCCCACATACTTCCAAAAGCACACGAAGCCTTCCTGAGCAACATTCTCCTTTACTTACACATCACCTACCTCATCTTGCTTCTCTACTACAGCTTTTACTATTCTGCAGGCTAGTGAGTCATCTTCACTTCACTCTGTGACCATCACACCCAAATAGAATCCCACTGGCAAGCGATGAGTGGGTCGTCAGTGCGAGGGTGACATATAGGAGATAGTGTGTCGAGAAAAAAAAGAGACAGCAAAGGTGGTCGTGGGGTCAGCCAGCTGAAGAGACATCAGAAGCCCCAAGGGAATTATATACATATAACAAATTATATTTTTTTAAAAGTATAATACAAACCTGAATACTTAGTCCTTGAGTGCATCGAATGCGCATAACAGCTTCAAAACCGATTTTTCTAACCAAATATCGATCGAAATCCCGACGGAATCGTTCCACTTCAACACACTCAGTAAATTGACACTTGCTGTAGTTATTTGTTGTTGTGTTGGCACTTTGTGTAGTACTGTTTGACTGTACATTCTCAAGTAGTGCGTCATGAATTTGCGGTGAGTAACAAAAGTCTGGATAATGATGAATAGTACCACTTGAAAAACGACTAGCTCCAGATATTGTTGCTATATCACAGTATTGAGAGTTAAAGATAAACATATCCACAGCCACCTGTAATTTTGTAACCGAAAGATAAAGTTATTATGCAAAGACAATAATACCAAAAAGAAAAATTCGAAAGTTCCATTTATAACAAAGGAATAATTACATGGTGAACGGTGACTAGTAATTGAATCCAGGATGCACGTTTCATCTAGTTTGGGAACACAATCGTCATATTTCTTGACCTGAAAGCGGTATACGATTCCGTCAGCCGAGAGGTACTATGACGATGTTTGACTGTGATGAAGGGGATACCGAGAAAATACATTGCTTTACGAGTTGATCACGGATTGATATCAGTTAGAGAACCATTGAAAACCAGCACTGGAGTACTGGACAGCATCTGTTTCATCCTAGTTTGGGAATCATCGGCAGTACGCACCCACTGGGATTCGAACCCAGGACCTTCCGGTTACAAAGCAAGCTCGTAAAACATAATTAATCCTTACAAACCAAACTATAGAAAATACATTGTACTGATCAAGGCACTCATTCTACTCGAAGTCATGCAGCCAGCCAGGTGAGAGTTGCCAACGAAGAGTTGTCATCTGAAATGGTGACAACCAGTGCAGTGGTGTCTGTCAGGGATGTCAACTCACTATCCTCATTTCTGTTTTATTTCATCATAGATGTACCAATGGAATTATTTCTAACTGACTTCAGTGACTCAGGGATTGACTTGTTATCAGGGAATAATCTCGCTGACTTACAATATGCAAATAATATAGAAAAAGAGAAGATGTTCAGCGAAGAGACTCTTTTCGACGAATTTATTCACATAGCTGTAATTATTTGTGTGTGTGTGTGTACATGAGATTTGTCAAGTTTAGATAATTTATTAGGTAATATAAGAATGATCTAATATAGAAACAAGGTTAATCAGACAGCAACTAAAGTAAGACTGAGTTAGTTAGTAAGTTAGATGACGTAATATAATTGACTAAAATGTTTCAACTTAGGTCAGGGTAGCAACAAAGGTAATTACAGGTAGAGACTAAGTAGGAGTGGTGTAGTGCATAATGCCATTTAAATTAGAACTGAAAGTGAGCAATTAAGTTGGATGACGTAACATAAATGACTAGAAATTGAGCGTTGGTCAAGTCAGTAACCATGTGGTAGTGAGGTGTACAAATTAAATCGGGTGGGGGTAGAGAACAAGAAAGTTGAAAATGCAAAATATTACAATTGAGAAGACAAAATAATACTAATGAAGAGACAGAAAAAAAGATTGGGTAGAATTTACTTGTCGGGTAATAAGATAGATTATGTCGATTGCAAGTGTGGTGATTGAACGAACTTCTCCTGTATGCAGAGTTCAGAGCTAAGCAAGTGAATAGACCAAATAATATAGACCTTCTGGGTAAACACGCTGACAGAATACAGCAGAGCCTTCTGAACACCTTGAGGGGCAGTAATCCACGAATGTTTGGCGTGCGATTCGGTCCCGACAAATGTAAGATGTAAGATGCTACAGGACTGGATAACATCAGCCACCTAAAGTGGTGGCTGAGCGTGTTGACCACTTCACTTATTTCGGATGTCACATCAGCCAGTCCCATCAGCAGGTTGATTGCTGACCAAATCTCAACACGGATATAGAAGGCTCGTTTAGCATATGCTAACTGATGCGATCTCTGGCTTAGTAGACGTTATATCCGACTGACTGGTTATCGACCACAGGGCGCATGTGTACTGCTCAGCAGCACTTAGCTCCATCCTCCTTTATGGTCGTGAACGAGACATGGCCATTGAAAGTAGAAGACATGAAAAGGCTGACTAGATAGCTCCCTTTGGTCATTGTTGTCTGTGTTCTATCTCTCGTATTAAGTGGTATAATAAGATGAACAATATTGAGGTTAGACACCAGTGATCGAATGCTAGGTAGGTGGGAGGGGAGATCAATCGACGAGGTGATTGTGAAGCTACTAGATCGATTAAGATGGTTAGAACACATGTTACGCATGCATGACCAGCTATCGATCGCCTTCCTCGACCGAACGGGCGATGTCAGCTGACACACGGTCAGCTTGGAGAAGAGCTAGTAGTAATAGTAGTGAAACAAGAAAATGACATCGGTCAATGAAATCTATAACAGTTCGTCAGAGCCAGTCACGTAGGGAAGGAGGTGTAGATTGTCTGGCTGGAGAAAGTTAGTGATATGGTCCAAAATCGTCGTTGTCAATGGCTGGCGCAGATGCATTCACTCTCTGTGATTTGTCAGCTATATATCATATAAAACTCTATTGTTCTTCCATATTACTATTCTTTTACCCTCACACGTCTCTTTATTGTCCCTCTTTCGAATCTCGCTTCTCTTCATTCATGTGCTACATGAAGAGAGAGTGTGGGTGACAACTCGAACTTCTAAAACACCTGTGAAAAGTTTCATGTTGCAACCAGTTAGTCAGCCATTTGGGAACACGATCACTGCAGATTCCAGGTATATCCAACTGATGCATCCTGGATCCCACTGCTAGTCATCTAACACCCAGTAGGATCATGTCGTTAATCCCATAGACATCGTTAACTTAAAAAAAAAAATTAAATACATATTTAAATAGAAACAATATTTCAATGATACCTGTTGATGAGCACAATCCAAAGCGAAAGTCTTATAGAAGTCAGTTGATAAATTCAAGTGTTTTATGTCCACTGAACAACGATCACTTGGTTCTTCGCGTAAACTGAGCGCGCCGACACCAATGTTAGGCAGGCATGTATTAAAAACAGTAATTCGACCGCCTGTTGAACCGATTAACTTCTGTGCAGCCTATAAAAATGAAAAGATGCGTGTGCACATTAAAAATATTGATATATATATAACTACTTTTTTCAGTTATGGTGTGGTGAGAGCTTGCTACTAGATGAAATTAGTAGACAACAATTTACGTCAATATTTATGTCCCCAATACTGGTCGTGAGAAAAGTAAGAATAAGGACTGACTTAACAATTAATCACAGAAAACTTTCCATAGGCGGATGCAATTTGCAGATAGATAATCTGAACTTCAAGAAACGGCCACAAAGGGATGCAAGACTCACGTTCAACGAGAAACAACCAATCAGAAGACTGTGTTTGTTTGCTTACAATAACGAATAATAATAATAATGTACATGAAAATCTATAAGTATTTGTTGATTTCGTAAATAAACGATCTGTTTCCTAGGCCTTATCTTCTCTTGTCACATTTGATGTCGCTGTCTACCGACAAATTAAAAAGCCTATGCCCTGAAGTTATTTGATGGAGACATATGCAACTTCGGGAAGGATTTCGAGGCTTCTGCACAGTTGAGTGGCGTTCAAGATCTGTCAGCGATAAGGCTGTTACTTGGAACGCTGCTGGAAGGTAGAGAGAATACAGGACAGGGTCAGTCAAACAGTTTCCAAAGTGGTAAGGACCATATATGGTCACGTTGAGATGGGGTTACTCAGACAAAATCGCAGTGGTAAACGAAGAGAAACAGGTGAACATTAGCGAGGGCCAAGATACCAGAAAGCAAGACAAACGAAAAAAGCCCCTAGAACCAAGAAGACCGAACCAAATTCATTCGGAAGTCTTTGATGGAGGGACGAGAGTGGTGAGAGCTGGCTACTAACCAAAAAGGTAGACAGTAATTTACGTCAATGTTTATGTCCCGAATATTGGTCATGTGAAAACAAGAACAAAGACTGACAGCAGACTTTGAGTAGGCGGATACAATTTGCAGATAGATAATCTGACATTCAGGGAGAAACAACCAATCAGAAGACTGTGTTTTTCTGCTAACAATAATCTATAATAATGTACATGAAAATGTATAAATATGTGTTGATTTCGTAAATGAACGATCTGTTTCCCTGACCCTTGTTTACTGTTGTTACAATGTTTGCATGCAATCAAGTCAGCAGAGAGTGATGACTTTGATTACCTACCAAGCAATAATAAGTTACTGGTATGAACAAAGACAAGTCAGGTGACATGTCGATATTTTTAGAAACATCATGTATACCACGGGTAAAATAAATCATACAAAAGGTATCAGCTGACTTTAGTTCACATGTATATATACACACACATGGTGAACAATTGTAGCAAAAACATATTAAATATAAAATGACTTTTTATAGCGAAATCGTTTACTCTGAGATTATGAGGATATCAAGAAATGCCTAAGGAAAGAAACTAACTCTCAAGGTGTGTTGTTGAAAGAGCTGTCAGTCACAGTGAAATGTGACAATACTACTGCGTGAGTCGATAACCATTCCAAACACGTCACAAAGCCAGCCAGCGTTGAAGAATCCCTTCTCCATAATCTACCAGGTGCCTAATAAATTGCCAAAGTTATCGTCAAAGCACCGCATGCTCCAAAAACCAGAGGCTAGTGCGATTCGCCTCAATACAACCAGTGTTCTGTGTTCAAAAGAAGCAAGTCCAGCCAGTCACTATTACTGCCCTGACTGGCCTTCAGTAGAAACTATCAATTCATGAATCTTTCTTAATTTTTCTGACATTCAGCTTATTTTATGTTGATGCTATGGATCTGTAATCTACTGTTATTATTGATTCGATGTTATTTAAACAACATTAATGTTGTTCTGGTTTAGCACTAGTAACTAGTGTGATGTGTCTAGTCCTCTCATTGGTGGTGTAGACTGAATTCTACCAGTCAGGTTGTAATGTGGCCACCATTCTAGGTAGCTCTCCATTACGGCGTACATTGATTTGATGATATTAGATGGTTGGAGGGAATCGGCCACAGGAAGCCTTGGACGCGGGTTCGAATATCAGAAGGGATATGAGTTGTTCCTTCAAGGTTGCAGATACGCCTTGCTGACTAGTGCCCACTAGCACGAAACCTAGGTCAGGCAAGGGTTCCTGTCGATTGCCTCCAACCATCTAATATCATTAATGTTGTTCATAACACTAATTCATTCATTCATTCATTCACTATAATGTATGTATAACTGTAGAGCCTGATGACGAAGGCGTTATCAAAAAGACTATTCTTTGTTCAGTCTCTATTCTTTTGAAAATATCACTAACCAGATACGCTACGGTATGTGTGGTTTAAAACCAGCCAGTTAAGTCGAAGTGACCTAAGTAAGCACCGGAGAACAACTTCGCTCATTTTGAGGTCGAGTTAGTCAGACAAATATGCTACCCAGTAAAAAATCAAAACACCGCTTGGCTATGTGGAACACATCTAATAAACGAACCGAAATGGGAACTGGCAAGAGGTGGTAATCTACGGTGTTGACACGAACTGAAACTCACATCGGTTAATCAATAATAATAAGCAAATATAATCACGGTATTTTCAAGACTAATCACTCTGGAATAATATAATAATCAATACTATGTACGTTAACAATACAAATAAAAATTAAAAGCAACTGTTTTTTAACCTGGGAATTTAAAATACTCTAGCCGGGATATTGATTTTGTATTTACCTTAACATGTTGTTAGCGGAATTATGATTTAAGGATTGAATAGAAAAACTAGGGTGGTAAAAACAAGAGACATGAGACACTAATATGTGAAATATACACTATGTAAGGGAAATATAAATTGTCCAACTAAAGTCTATATGGTAAATAATGCTAGAAAGAAGGGGGTAAGGAATCAATCTCAGTGGTTTAGATGCATGCATAGCCTACCTAACCCTTCCATTGTACAATGTCATATTCTTGTGCTTGCTTTGTGTGGATCACTTTTTTCATGTATTACAGTTGGTTGGCAGGGACTGGCCCTATTCAGGTAGACAGTTAGTAGTTACCTGGGTTACTCCTAAGGGGGAGTTGTGACCAGTGAGATAAAGCAGGTGGTAGAGTGTGAGGACAAATACTCGCGCCACCGATGACATTCGCTAGTGCCAGTCGCGCCATATCATGAATTGTCAGAGGTTGGAATTCATGTACTGGCCATTGGATCAGGTTCCAGTGGCTTATTGGTCGACGAGCTCGCTCGCCTTGTAACCAGAAGGTCCTGGATTCGAACCCTATCAGTAAGTGAGTACCACTGAAGAATCCAGACTAGGACGAAGCGACTGTCCAGTACTGCCTGATGGTTTTCCAACGGTCATGTCTTTGTCTAGATGAAGTACAACAACTTACAAAGTAATATTGAATAGTGTACTAGTGTAATGACAGAAGACAAGAGCCAGGCGACAGATTGTTAATGGAGAAAATCATGAGGTATTTATAGATTCTTATGTACAGTGCATTATTGTTACCGGAGAAGCAATTTCTCCTGACTGGTTGTTTTCTCGCTAAAGGTTAATTCTGTTATTGCTTTTGCGGTCGTTTCTCAGAAAATTAAGCCATTACTCTCAAGTCTGTGTGGACGTCAACAGGACTACTCAGCATGAAAAATAAGATCCGGATTTTCAACTCCAATGTGAATTCAGTCAGTGCCACTATACGGATCACAGACTTGGCCAGCGCGTCATGAAGAGCACCTCACACAGACTACAAACCTTCATCAACAGCTACTTTCGCTCATTACTCAAGATCAGATGGCCGGTCAGAAAAGATCAACAATACGGATCTCTGAGAGCAAACCGACCAGGAACCGATTGCGAAACAAATAGGCAGGAAGAAATGGAGGTGGATTGGATTGGTCATACTCTGAGGAAACCACCACCAAGTGATATCACTAGACAAGCCCCCCCCTTGAGTGGAACCCGAATGGGAAGCGGCGAGTTGGTTGTCACTGTGAGGGTGACATGGAGAAGGTGATGTGAACAGGAGATGAAAGCATGTGGGCAGACGTGGAGCCAGGTGAAAACTCTAGCAGAGAACCAAAAGCAATGGAGACCTGAGTGGATTAAGCCCTATATTCCTCTAAGAATTAAAGGAAATAATACTAATAATAATAATATCTGTAAAATCATATTTCCACACGTTAACTCCGCTGTGATTGGCTGGTAATTTTCTCAAGGTTAAGCATTGGCTTTTGTTCTTTTTTCTTCTCATGGCCCTGATTCAGGAGGTGAACATCGATGTAACTTGTTGTCGACAAGTTTTGGCTTGTTCGCAGCCAACTCTGTCACCACACTAGTACTACTACTAATACTTGTTTCACTTGTTTTAGCCCGGAAATTTTTACACAGATACTTACAAACATTCAATTATCAACTTTCATTTATACTTTTTTATTAATCTAATAATAATAATAATAATAATAATAATAATAATAATAGTTATAATAATTTGCTTTATTCGAAAACAGTACTTGTGATACAGAATAGAATTCTCCGCATTTCACTACAGTATTGTTGCATCCAGTTAGTACATTATCAAGAAACAAAATTCTACATAGATTATGGGTAATCTCAGTTAGTTTTGACAACAACATATTAGCGCATATCGGTAGCAAAGTCAAAAGTGAACAGAATGTTTGAAGTTGTTAGAAAAGTAGATACTAGCATGTTTACTCGCGTAAGCGGTAACAAAAATGTCGACATATACAGAGTGTGAAAGAACGAAGAAGAATGTTTTAAGTGGAGTTTGTAAGGAAGAGAGAAACAAAACAGCACATAACAGAAAAAAGAGAGAAAAGGAAAAGAAAGAAAGAAAACGTTGTACCTATAAATGATATGAGTTGGAAAGACGAGATCCACTTTTTCTGCTGACTATATAACAAGCTATAAGTTTCACGCCTAATGCTTTCTTTATTGCACAGAACACGAGCTAAGTAGGTAGGGTATGGTTGAGTTTTTGTACTTACTAGTGCGAGTATATAGTTTTCTATATAGGCTTCTGGTTCTGCCTGCCTGATGAGATACAA